ACTCTTAAGAAGAAAAAATATTGAGCTTGAACTGAAGAAAGAAACAAGATTCCCTTTGGCTAGCATTTGACATTATCAACAACTCTGCTTTAATTTATTGTAAATATATAGATCTTTCTGGCACCAACATGCCACTATTGAGAAATGGAGAAGAGCAAAAATAGCCCACCTACTGTGCAAATCAAACACATAAATAAACATAAGAAGGGATAGAATGGGAATCCGTTCATAGTCTTGAGAGCAGAATGGTTTTGTAATCCAGTGTTTTGTTTCCTGATCTATATTGCTAGGATGTAAGGGTTTAATCCTTGTGGATCACACTGGTTCTGTCAGGGGAAGCTCTGGTTCCGTCTGCCACTGTTAAAAGCCTTGGGGTTGTGTTGGACTCATAGCTGATGATGGAAGTCCAGATCACTGCCATAAGTAAGCAGGCCTTTTTTCATCTTCGCCAGGCAAGGAAATTGGCATCCTACCTTTCGGTAGAAGCATTGACTAGCGGGATCATCTATAAGATCCCATATTACACCGATTCTGCAACAACTGCATTGGCTACCAATAGAACATCGGATCTCTTACAAGATACTGATCCTGACATTTAGAGCTCAAAATGGCCAAGGACCTTTATATCTTAGGGGCCGCCTCATTCCTTTTCTTCATCCGTGGTCACCTCGATCCACCCAGGAAAATCTCCTATACATACCGGGTCCTAGGGAGGTACACCTGGAAGCTACAAGGCGTAGAGCTTTTTCAACCTATACTCCAATTCTGTGGAACTCATTGCCTCCATACATTAGAGCAATGTCGGAGTTACGACCTTTTGTAAAGGCACTCAAGACTTGGCTGTTTGGTTGTGCATTTAAGTAATCAGATCTAATTTGCCAAATAGTCTTTGTTGAATGTTTTTATGTTGAATGTTTTTATATTGTGTAAATGCTATTTTAGGTTGTAAGTCACTCGGAGCACCGTGGTGGAGAGCGACTAATTAAGAAATAAAGTGAAGTGAAGTGAAGAATGTGAAAGGGATCCAAGAGTCTTAGTAGACCACAAGCTGAATATGAATCAACAGCATGATGCAACAGATAAAAAAGCCAATGTGACTCATGGCTGGATCTATAGGAATATAGTGACAAAATCTAGGGAAGTCATTGTACCAATCTATTCAGCTTTGGTCAGACCTCACCTGGAATAACACTGTGTCCAGTTCAGGGCACCACAATTCAAGAAGGATATTGACAAGCTGGAAAATGTCCAGAGAAGGATGACCAAAATATTTGGAAACCAAGCCCTGTGAGGAAAGATTTAGGGAGCTACATCTGTTTAGCTTGGAGAAAAGAAGGCAGAGAGGGGACATAATAACCATGTCTAAATATCTGAAAGGATGTCACATGGGGGGGGGGTCTATTTTCTGCTGCTCCACAGACTAGGACATGTTTTTAAAGTTCTAAGCCTTACTAAATCCACAATTTAGATGGGACATCAGTTTTCACAATGTCAACAAACAAATGTGTGAAACAGATAACATCCAGTCCAAGAGTTGAATCCCATCCACTTAAGAGTTCTGTTATTGTTCTCCACATGGCCTTATCACCTTTTCCATTATCATATTGTAGAGTGGTTTCCCATGTTTTGTAAACTTTCATCCCACTTTAAAAGATTAAAATGCCTCTTGTGAGACTTAGTGATTGGCAGCAGAAGCTTCAACCTGAAATCCACTGGTATTTTTGGTCCCACCTACTACTGGAATGTCGGTCCCATCCTTTTGTCTTTAGTCCCACCCAGCACAAAAATGTTGCCCCAAGAATTATTTTGAAATTGGTTCAGCCCTTGAGGTAAAAACAGTTCTCTCCTTGATTTAAAAAGCAGAAGATGTGCACACAACATGTGCCCAAAGAGAGACCCATGGACTACAGATGTTGCTGTTATGCACCTTCAAGTCAATTCCAATCTATGGAAACCCTGTCAGGTTTATTCAAATAATAACACATTAAATATCTGTTGGCACCATTAAAAAATTCTTTCCTGCTTTCTTCTTTTCTTTCTTTCTTTCAGGTGCCATAAATCTGTTTTATCTGCAGGGGGTTGAAAAAGCTGCCCCTTAGACGAAACAAAGTGGTCACAACTGACTGTGGCCAAATGGATGACTAAATTATTGGGTTAGGTTTACACGTTGCTTTATTTCATTTGACTGAATTTTTGGTTCAACTATAAGCACCCTGGTTACAGAAAGTATTTTCTTTAGTTGTTAGGTATCTATTTTTGAAAAGACATCTGGGATTGTGTAGCATCTTGGCAAAGTTGATTCTCTTGTCATATATCAGCAATAAACTAGTGATACACACATGAATGCCATTCCTTGATTCCGTGATAAGAAAAAATTCCATTACAGCAGGTCTGGAGAACATTTGGCCCTCCAGATGTTTTGGATCTCACCTCCCAAATGTTCCAGCCACTGCAGGCAATGGTAAGGGACTTTGGGCGCAGAACTCCAAAGCATCTGAAAGACCAAAGATTCTACAACTCAGCATTACATCTTGAAAATTTCATGCCTGGTGAATTTTTGGGCTGCTAGATTGAAAATTTCATTAGTATACAAAAATATGTGAAAAAAATGAAATACTACTGGTATATGTGCATATGTGGGGCCCATCCATAGGATTTTCTTGGGCAAGGAATACTCAAAAGTGGTTTTATAAATTTCTTTCTCTGGAATATAGCCTACAATCCACCCCAAACTCTTAGGTCCTCTGAGGTGGCTACTCCAACCTACCAGAACCCGACTGGAGACCATCACTCAGAGGACCTTTTCATTGGCTGCCCCAAGACTGCAGAATAACCTGCCAGAAGAGATCCAACAGCTAAATGAGCTGTTGGAATTTCAAACTCATTTGAAGATCTATCTCTCCCGAATTTTTAATAATGAATTTTAAATTTGCATCTTATCTTTAATCTCTGTTCTGTGTATTTTAATTTGTATCCTGTAGAAATATGTTCTAATATGTGTATTTAATTGAATGTTTTTAGATGATTATGTGTTTTTACTGATGCTGTAACCAGCCTCAAGTCACGAGGAGAAGCGGATAAGAAATAAAATTACCATTACCATTGTTGTTGCTGTTGTTGTTGTTGTTGTTGTTGTTGTTACTATTACAGTGCTACAGTGGCACTTGTTGATAGTTTCCCAAGTATTAACAGAAGCTGACAATCCTCCATTTCCATCTAGAATAACCTGACCTACATCAGCTATCCTCATGACAAAGTAAGACTTGTATCGTTTATAGCAATCTGGTCTCCAAAAGAACACCAACCCTTAATTTTAATTGCATTTTCCTTCCAGCCAAATATACATTTCAGGGATAAGCAACTGTCAAGGATTGGGGGCTATACTGGCCCTTCAGGAGACTTTGAATGTCTCCATATCATAAAAACAATCAAATATTTCCCCCTTGTGTCCCACATCTATTCTAGGCAGTGTGGGAACATTTTAACCACATTCCCTCCCACAGCCATTTTAGACCAAAACAGTCCTTTTTTTTAAGAACAGGGAGTGGCCCTGAAATCTCCTGCAGTCCTCTTTCTTCCCCTGCTCCTCCTTCTCCTTACCATTCTTCTTCTCTTCTTCTTGGCCTCTTGTTGGCCTAAAATTGCCGCAGGGAACAGAAATGTTGCAAAAATGCTCCAATATCACCTGGAATACATTCAGTGGTTGTTTGTGGGCGGCCGAGGATGACAAAATATTTTTGAATCATGGGGAACCCTGAGGGAAACAATATTGCCTATCTCTGCTCTAGTTGGTGTGTTTTGGTCAGTGAACAGTCCTTCAAAGAGGATGACATAGAAAGTAGGCTTGGGTAACCACGGAAAAATTTGGTTCTAAACTCGTTTTGTTTTTAGGGGGCCCTTGTGTTTCGTTTTTTTTAATAATTCCGAAATTTTCCTTTTAAAAATTTCGAAATATACGAAATTTCATATAATTACGAATCGATTCATTAATGGCGGACGCAATTGCGCAATATGCTAAAAAAACCTCCAAATGGGACAAGGGGAACTTCTGAAGCTTCCCTCTCCCTCTGTTGTTGACTGTTGGTGTGATAAAACAAACAACTATAAAACTTGCACCAGACATGCCAAAATAATTACAAAATAATGACAAAATAATTACGAAACATTGAAAAAATTGTTTCAAATCTAATTTACTCCTCACACTATTCCTGCATGGCTCAATATTGGATCGTAAGCTAATTTAAATACGAATTAATAACGAATTACGAAATTAACGAACGAAACCGCCCAAATCTAATAGAAAGAGATATATAAATGATGATAAATATATCCAAAACTCAATGCAAATAACTTTTTGTTGAGCACTACGTTGAGAAATGTAACTTCTAGATGCCATCTTCCACTGTTCAGGAGAGGCTGAAAATGATTCGCTGGCCTTCAGTGCATTCCCACCCCAACCAATGAAGTGGCCCTATAACAACTTTGTCATGTATACTATGGGCTACTGAGTACTGAGTTTAGATGGATTTCATTTCTACCACAAAATAATTAATTGCAGGTAAGATGAAGAATGTGCTTGACAATAGAGTAGTACTGAGTGGTTTCATTTTCCGATTTTCCAGAATTTAAACAAGGAACATATAGAGTCTACAATAAACTCCCACAGAGATCTGTTGCTTCTTTCTCTTACATGTGGACAACAGACAAACATGCAGCTGGATTGGAGCCTTAGTCTGAGCAGCAAGTCTTGCTTTGAAAAGAGACACTCACATAGATCCAAAGTGTACATACCTATTGTGATTAAAATAAAAATCAGGATCAAAAGAAAATATGATTTCCTTTAAGGAAATTCTGATCTTTCCAACCCACTAAATTAAAAGAAATATGCAAAGTAAACAAGAACCACATTTTTTTTCAATGCAACAAGTAATCCACATTTCCATAAAATGAAATTAAATTTTAGAAAAGTAACAAAATGTGATACTGGAGAGACATTTCAC